CGCGGAGGCTCCTGCGTGCAGGGCCTAAGGGGGGGGGGGGGGGGGGGAGGGGAGGAGTCATCAACCCCCCCATCTCTCATTCCTTCACGTGCGCTGGTATCGGCGTCGGTTACGAAATGCTCTTGGCAGCGGGCGAGGTGACTCTCCGTCGCAATATATATTGTAAAATTCTGATTTTCTCCGCTTTATTTTCTTTATTTTCGTCACTAGAACCAGGTGGAGACCAGACGCCCGCAGGCACAACTGCGCGCGCGCATAATTAACACCCGTGCAATTAGCGAGCCCTGAATTTAATTTTTGAACCTCAGATTGCCTCCGCAAAAAAAAAAAAAAATTGTCACCGTATGATGCTTCCCATAGCCATGCTGGGAAACCGAGACCTTTAAATGCTGGGATTGCTGCCGGTAATGAATATGTTATTAATTAGTAAAGCACAATTAAAGCCGCCGCTTTCCTGTTGGTTTAGGTTTTATGCTGATGAAGCAACGTGGAGCATGGATCAGCAGTTCCTGTGGGGACCGGGGCTCCTCATCACCCCCGTGCTTGACCCAGTAGGTTTCCCTTTCCTGACGTAACGAGTTTTCCTTGTAACGAATTCACGGGGTGGGGGGGCACCTCCAGTTGCTGGTGTCGCCTTTTCTACAGGGAGCGGCAGTAGAAGCCCCAAGAAGGGAAATTTCTCAACCCTCTCATTCTTTCATTCCCTCGATTTAAAACCGCTTTTGAATTCTCTATCTTCTTCCGTCTTGGGATTATATAAAAATTCAGCTTCAACGTCCAAGTTCCCCTATTTTTCCCCCAAACCATGCTCCTTCTCCATTTTTTTTTAATCTACAACCCCCCCCCCCCCCCGAGGTAAAACAGGGTACTCCATTTCCCAGATGAACCTAATAAATGATCTCTGGTCCTGTTTCAGCCTGAATTAGAACCAGAGAATCATGGAATCGTTTGGGTTGGAGAAGCCCTTGGAGATCCCCAAGCCCAACCCTTGACCCAACCCTGCCACCCCACCACAAAACCCTGGC